AAAAAAAGAGCCTGGACAGTACCTTTCAGGAAATCATAAAGGAAAACTGCCCTGAAGTCCTAGAACCAGAAGGGAAAATAACCACAGAAAGAATACATCACCTCAAAGAGATCCCAAATTGACAACGCCAAAGAATATAATAGCAAAATTCCAAAATTACCATATGAAAGAGAAGGTGCTGCAAGCAGCCAGAAAGAAACAATTTAAATATCATGGAACCACAGTCAGGATTACACAGGACCTCACCCCTTCTACATTAAAAGACCGCAGGGCGTGGAACATGATATTCAATAAGGCAAAGCAGCTTGGATTACAGCCAAGGATCAGCTACCCTGCAAAAATGAGCATGATTTTTCAAGGGAGGATATGGATATTCAATGAAATAGGGGACTTCCAAGCCTTCCTGATAAAAAGACCAGAGATCAACAAAAAATTTGATCTTCAAGTACAAGACTCAAGACAGACATGAAAAGATAAATGGGACAGAAAGATACAATATGTTGTTAATAAGTATGGACTGTTTACATTCCTGCAAGGGAAGATGACACTTGCATCTCTTCAGAACTGTATTGTTATTACACCATGTTAAAGGAGTATACATAAACGGGGTGGATATTTGTTAACTTTGATGTTATGATAAAAAAAAATCTAATCAAGTGGGTTAAATGGATCCAAGTAAGTGGATTAGTCTGATCTTAGAAAATGAACTGTGAAAGAAGGAGGCAGACAAGGGTAAATTACATTACAGAAAAAGACAGAAAATCCTATTACAGCAGAGGGAAATAAGGGAGGGGGGTGAGCATTGTTTGAACCTTACTCTCTTCAGATTTGGCTCAAGAAGGTAATAACTTAATCAGTTAGGTATAGAAATCTAACTTGCCCTATAGGCAGTAGGAGGGAAAAGGGGAAAGAAATGGGAGGGGGAAATAGAAGGGAGAGAAAAAGCAGTAAGGCTAAAGGGGAAGAAACAGAAAGGGAGGGAGGGACTGAGGGAGGCAGTGGTCAAAAGCAAAACACTAGTGAGAATTTGTACTTACAACTTCACTAATGTGAAAATACGTTTAATAGGAATGTAAATGTATAGCATATATCAGATTGTGTGCTGTCATAGGGAGGATGGTGGGGAGGAAGGGGGAGAAAAATTTTAAACTCAAAAGCATGTTGAAGTGATTGTTGATAAATCAAAGTAAATTAATAAAATAGAAAAAAATAAAAATAAATAGATCTGGGAGGGGAACACCCTCACGGTTTTTGACCAAAATTGAAATAATTGTTATTTACATTCATTTTGAGCCAATCAGGCCCAAATAGTGATGAAGTAGGGCTTAATTTGGGACCAGTGATTTGGGGTTCAGTCTGATTTTTAAGAGAAAACAAAAAACAAAAAAAATTTCTTTCTGTGTCATACCTAGCCAAGAGACATCTCCTCCAAGGTATATCTTCTCTAACAATAATGTCTCAGCAGCAAGAGAAGTCATAGGTGAGAAACGTGAAAAGCAAAGGATAAATCTCAATTCTGGGAGGTGGTCCAACTGAAGGGACACTTTGTGAGTGAAGGGAGAGAGATCTGTAACAAGACATGGGCAAATCTGTAGCTAGTGAGAGAGTACTATACTTTATGGACAACTTCATTCCGAAAAAGCTGTGACCCATCATCTAGTGGCTGCAAAGCAAACATCTGGGTGCAATGGAAAAACAGTTAAGGACAGCCAACTAAAGAAATGAAGAAACAATCAAAGAACCCTCACCTTGATATCTAATCTCTCCACTCATCAGCTCTTTCCACAGCATTACAATCTATGATAGACCTCATATTGGTCTGAGTAACTTGACTCTAACATAGTGATGTCATCTTGGTCCTCTTCAAGAAAGAAGGACATCAAGCAACCAACCCTTACAATGGCTACACTCTCTTCTCTTCCCCATTCTGACCCTTTGGCTAACCAGTCTGCCAAATGCTATACTGTCTTCTCTAGAGGGCCTTCCCTCCTTATTCTTTTACTGATCTTGTCCTACCAGACGTTAGCCTTGGATTATTTCCACCATCTGATACTCTCCTACTCAGATGTAACTGAACAAAGACAAAGGAAATGACAAAATCACACTACAAATTTACGTTACACAATCTCAAATGGGCCCTTAGTGCAGCAAGGTCATCCCTCTTCACTAACCTACTCATCTTTTCTAAACCTTTTCATTTCTCCTTCCACAAACCTCATACTCAGCTGAGAATCTTGCCTCATATTTCACTGAAAAAAAAATGTGCTTCAATCCTCATGTCATATCACTCAGATGACAATTATCTCCTTCTTCAACCGGTCTCACATCAATGGATGGTCCTTCTTTCCAAAGCCACCAACACCAAAGCTTATTCCATTTCAGCTTCTTAAGCATGTTGCTATTTCTATTATCCCATCCTCAGTCTCTCCTTGTCTACTGGTATGCTTTTTTACCTATCTTTGTCTCCACAATTCTCAAAAAGCACTCCTTTCATCCCTGCTATTTTTCATCCAATATATCTCTTTCTTTTGTCTGGTCCTTTACAAGGCTGCCTACACTTTTTTTTTCCCTCTTAGGTTCTTTAGAGTAGATTCTACACTGAAAAGTGTTCTCTGCCAAGTTACTTAATAGTCAAATCCAATATTGTTTTTTTTTCTCAGACTTCATTCTTCTTGATCTCAATACAATCTTTAGCACTGTCCATCATCCTCTCTTCCTTCTCTGTAGGTTCCCTGGATCTCCTCCTACCTGCCTGACTAGTCACTCCATCTCAAGGGTACTTATTTCCCCACAAACATAGATCATGTCAACAAATGCTAGCTCATACCTTTGTTTCTGTTCTCTTCTTTACTCTTTACACTACTTCACATGGTAATCTCATCAGCTCCCAAGCATTCAGTTATAACCTCTATATCTACTTATCCAGTTCTAACTTTTCTCCTAATCCCCAAACTCACATCTTCCACTGCTTAAAGGACATTTCTAACTGGATTCGCATAGACATCTTAAGCTCAACATGTCCAAAACTAATCTCAGTATTTTCATTCCCAACCTTCCCCCACCCTAACTCTTCCTAACTTTCCTTGGATTTTCTATGCTGTCACCACTTGCACGAATATTCTGACATTTTTAATTTCTATGTTATTCTTTCTTCACATTTTCTTGCCTTATTTGTCTTCACTATAACATGCTGAAATTCATCACCTCTACTATGGCTTGACTTTCCTCATTTCCCAATCTAACTCTGTATTTAACCAGTTCAGCTTTAAACTGTCTTCTACTTCTCCAATAATCAATCAACAAGGATTTATTAAGTGCCTACTATGTGCCAGGCACTGTGCTAGGTGCAAATGCAACCCTTTTGGATCCCTCGTCTCTGTGCTATTGCCACTGACACTTTGCTAAACACCAATTTATAAACCACATCTACTACTCATATGCTACTAAACAGTGCTGGTGAAAATCATATACACACACACACACACACGTATGTACACACTCGTATACACACATGCACACATACGTATACATACACATATACACACATATACATATACATATATACATATATGTATATGCATATACATATAGATATGGGAGAGAAGGTTCACTAAAAAATTTATTTAATCTTAATTGGACTCTCACTAAAATTGGAAAAACCTTTTATTCTTCCCTCAAGGACTATGTCATTCTCCACATAACCAATGGCTTCTTAAACTGTCATATTTGATCCTTTTTCTTAACTTTCTGGATGCTTTCTCTTCTCTAAGTTTTCATGACACTGTACTCTTTTTGCTTTAATCAGACAATTTTACTGTAACCCTGGGAAATTCCCTTAACTTTGCTGTGCCTTGATTTCCTCTTCTGTGCAAGGAGGGTGTTGGACTTAGTGGTCTTTAAGATCTTTCCAAACAATATGTCTCTGTGACCCCATCACCCTCCTAATTTTCTAATTATTCTCGTTGTTACATTATTATCTAATATCATTTCTCTGAACCTCAGTTATACACCGATGTTCTCTCCTGACCCTTTTCTCTTCTAGTATATGACTCATAGATACCACCCACTGCCATTGGTTTAATCAGTATATATGCAAATGGTTTCCAGATCTATACAAACAGCCCTAGAACTCTAATGAGATCAAGTCCCACATCACCATTTGATGTTTCAAATGAGATGTTTCACAGCCATTTCTTATTCAATACATTCAAAATAAAACTATTTTCCCCATAAACTAACATCTCTTGCTATATATATGGCAATATTTTTATCTCTTATTCTTCTTTCGGTTAACCTTTCTTCCAGTGACTCACTCTCACAACCTCATACATGTATTCACAAATGTAATCAGATGCCAAATCTTGTCACTTTTATTTCCACATTACCTCATACATCTAGGTCCCTCTCCTCATAATACAACTTCAATTCGTATTCAGAAACCTCATTATTTCTCACCTGGATTACTTTTATCTCCTACATGAGGCCTTCCTTGATCCTCTCAAGTGTTAATTCCTCTACTCACCCCAAAATTACTACTAATAAAAAAAAGACGAGGAGGACAAAGAGCAGCTTTTTTTGAAAGGACTTAAAGATTTATAAAGCTCTCTATAAATATTATCTCATTTTATCCTCATAATAATCCTAGGATGTCATTGTTATCCTGACTACAGGCCCAGTTTTTTATTAAATAAACCATCTAAATGTCTCTACATGAGGCTTTTGTGATCCCTGGAGGTATTAATATCTATCACCTCCAAATTTCTGTTATATTTACTTAGTACACACACATCTGCCTGTCTGTGTATCTATTGATATGTCTGTTATCTTCCCCTGATATAATATAAGCTTCTTACTGGTACAGACTGCTTTGTTTTTAATTTATATTACCAGTACCTTGCACAGCCCTGGATGAATAGAAAGCACTTTACAAATATGTGTTGATTTAACTGATGAAAGCAGGCATCTTTCCACTGTACCAATTTAAGGAATTTCACTTTTACCTTTCCTCTTCTTTCTGTGTTTGCTTTCTTTTGTTTCTTCTGCAGATTCTCCACCACTTATATTTAGATTGTATGTAACCAGTGGGGATCTGTATTTCAGCTTCTTAATTTCCTCAGAGTCTGAATCAGATTTCAAATTGCTTTTTTCACAAATCCCTAAGAATGAAATTTTAAAAAAAAAAAGGAATTTATGTGGACACACAAATGGGTTGTGATCTAACATCCCTGGAAGCAGCTTTTGAATAAATCAGATCACAGATTCATCTGAGTATTGAGTACTTAAGATCTATCCAAACTTCACCTCACAACTACAAATCTTTTTTAACAAAACATTTATAATACTTGGCTTCTTGAGCTAAAATGCCACATTAAAAAAAGGGTTTTTTTCATCTTTTTCATGTTGTCACAACTAGATTATGTCATTGGACATATTTAAATGCTATAATGGTTCCCAACAATTCTGTAAATGGCATCTGTTTGAAAAAGCTATTAATTTTACAATTTTCAGGAGCACAATGAGCTAATAAAGCTAAGAAACAAACATATTCATGTATATCTTTCTGATGCTTCTCACCCTCACTTCTTGTATTTGTTTCATCTTTCTTTTCAGTAATGTTTTTAGTATCATCTGATTCTTCACTTTCATCTGAGGAAAAATTGGCTTTTATTTCTTCTAAGAGAGTCTTCTTGGTAATCCTTTAAGATAAGATATTTTCTCTAGTTAAGAACAAACTAATTCTCAAATAAATAACACTATGTAATTATGAATCCAAAATAACCCAAGAAAAGTTAAGCAAGAAAAATAGACAAAAAATAATTATTAAAACAGTCATCTTATGACTACATTTATATTTGACTTAAATAGCAAGAACTTCCAAATGTTGTGAAGTAAAATAAGCACAAAAATATATTGTGTCAAGAAGTATTTCTTAACCTAATGCTTTGTACCTGAATGTAAAACAACCAGAAAAAAGAATTCCCTACTCTCAAGGAATGCACAGTCTAATAAAGGAGACCACATTCAATCAACTATGTACAAAAAAGCTAAATATGGCATAAACTAAAAATAGTCTCAGAGGAGTGACGCTAAGATTAGGACCAACCAAAGGGTTCTTGCAGAAAATGAGACTTTAGCTGAAACTTGGAGGAATCTAGGGAAGCCAAGAGGCAGAGATGAAGAGGTAAGGAAAACCTCTTACTGAATGAAATCTTTTAATAACTTACTCTGATATTACTTATAAGATTACTTTCTATCTCTATTTCTATTATGTATATCTTGTGTGTATAGGTATTTACATGCTTTCTCCTCCATTAGGATGTGAGCTCCCAGAGAGCAGGGAATTTTTTTCCTGGCTGGCACATAGTAAATGCTTAATAAAATGCTTGTTGACTGAGTGACTTGGCTTGACTTAACCTATATAAACGATTTCAATAATCTTTCTGTAAAATGAGGTATTATGGCCACTCGTATATTTGAATTTTAAAGAGAAAATTATTATCTCAAAATGCCAATGGATCTACTTTTGATTTGTGGTTCCTGAGTAAGAGACTTAAAATATGAACAACAAAATGTGTATTGAGTAAAACCATTTCTATTAAAGAAAATCACTGTTATTTGTAGATCTATGATAATATAAAAAGCCATGACACTGAGTATTGTAAAGCCCTAAAACATTTTCGAAAGGATCAAAAATTGGCAAATTTAATCTAATTCGGTGTCATAATATCTAGTTTTTAAATATATATATATATATATATATATATATATATATTTATAGATAGATAGATACTAACTCTTATTAAATGTGATTAAGCAAAAGACAATTGCCTTAATTATAAAACTATTTCTATGCATCTTTATAACTCAGTAAAAGCTACAGAAGATTAAAGCCCTCATTACTGATGTTACATCTAATATACAAAATTAAAAAGAAATGCAACTTGTTGTGCCTCTGAATATAAATAATGAATATGCTGTAAATTCTCATTCATAATTTTTGGTTGTATAAATCTCTAATAAACTTTAGTCTCGTTAATGCAGAAAGTTTTTCTTTTAACAAACTTTTTGGTGTTTTTGGTTTTTCACATGCCATAACAATAGTTATTACAATTAATTAAAACTTCAGGGATGAAACCATACCAATTCTCAGGATCATCATCATCTTCTTCCATTAAAACAGGAACAGATGTAGTGTTCGTTTCATCTCCTTGAATTTAAAAAAAAAATATTTCATTCTTTTTAATAAGAAATTAAAGTATATGTGTTGAATTTAGTTTATGAAAGCTTTAAGGCAACACTTACAGAGAAAATAAATGTTATTTTGCTTTAAGTAAGTGGGGATATGTTCTTGTTTGTCTGGAGACTTTTTGAGGAAAATACAAATGTGATCAAAACCCAGAGGCTACTTTATATTCTTGAGGTACAACAGGCATTTAATCTTAACAACATAGCAGTACAAATTTATGTGAAATTTACTTTTTAAATTTTAATTTCATTTTAATAAGATGTGTTATCCATATTACAAACATAAAATTATGTCTGTATATGCAAATTCACATATGTAACACATGTCACACACACACACACAAGTAGAGATGATTGATTGGGTGTATGGATGGCAACTCCTTTCTAATGTTTGGCCACTGATTTCCAATTAATTATTGCCAGTTAAATATCAAAGAATCACCTTAAATTTCAACATGTACAGAAACTTGAAATCACCTGTACCAAATCTGTACAAAATTAGCTATTAGGATTTCTTGATTATAGATAGCATTATTTGTTCACCACTGTAGATTAAAACTTCTGATTTTACAATTCCATTTCTCAGTCTCTTATATTCAATTAAACATCAAGTCCATTCATTCTTCCTTTATACTTTATAATGTTCTCAATGTTGATACACTAGGTCAGATTCATGATTATTTTGAGAGCTCCTGAACTGGTCTCTATATATCTAGCATCTGTTCTTGTTGTTCAGTTATTTTCATGACCCATTTAGGGTATTTTGGCAAAGATATTGGAGTGGTTTGCTGTTGCCTTCTCCAGCTTATTTTACATATAAGGAAACTGAAACAAACTGGGTTAAGTGTGAAAAAACATAGCTATACTGAGCCTAACATTGAAAAATCTTACAAAAGCTGGCTCCATCATCTTTTCCACTCACTTAGGCCAACCACATCGTACCACAAAAGGGAGACACTGAGGCCCAGAATGGGACATGCCTAGAAGAAACCTACTACCTTTTAAAAATTCCTAGAGAGAATTGGAGGATCAGAGAAAGAAGGAAAGCCAGTACTTGAGGTTAGAAAAATTGGATTTCAGAGACAGAGATTTTCAGAATATTTACCTCAATTCTATTAAGTGACAGGGCCAAATGTACACCGGGACATAAACTTCAACCTTCCAATTCTAAATTCAGTTGTCTTTATGCTAGCTCTCCTCCCTAAATTTCCATACTTAGGTACCAACTCTCCATTTACTCATATGCAAAATGAGAACGATACTTTCCCTAAACAATTTATAATTTCTTTTGATCATAGAGTTGATAAAAGGAAAATGTTTTGTAAACAAAGAAAGACTTCAAGACAATCCTACACACTAAGATGTTTGCTTATTTTAATAATGTAGTTTAAAACTATCATAAAAAAGAAAGAAATATATCTCTAAGGATTTTAACATTTTTACATACCTGACAACTGAAAATATTCAGTATTTGATGCATCAGTATTTTCTGCAATATTTATTTCAGACTTACCACTATCCCACATGTCAGATGAAGATAAAATATCATTTTCTTCCTGCTGTTTCTTGGGATTTTCAGACACTTCACCTTTTTTGTTATCATTATCTGAATTATAAGTGGAATCTTCTCTTTTTCGTTTCCCTTTATGATCTTTAAGCTCATGATGCTTTGCCTTGTATACAATTTTCTTCTGAATACTGTCGTATTTTAAATCAGTATCAGACTCTGAAGAACTCTTATCCTCCTTGGCAGCCTCCTTCCACAAAGCTGACTTTTCATCTGCATCTGAACTGGTTTCTTTATTAATTAACTTGAATTTTTCTTCAGCATCAGGCAAAAAAACTTGTCTACCTTCTTTTTCCCACTGCCCTGATGATCTTGGTTTACGTTTTTCACCACTTTCTTCTGAATTAGATGTTACAAGCTCCTTTTCTATGTGTCCAATTGAAGATGTTGTTTTCACAAGCGGTGATCTTTGAAGGTCAGTTTCCTCGTTAAATAGTGCAGTGTCATTATCAGGGATGACTTCAGTATTTCCTGGAATACTGCTCTCCTGTTGATATTCCTCTTCTCTTTTCTCTTGACTAATAATATCTTTCAATGAGGCATCTGACATGGAAAAAGGAGAAAACTTAACATATAATTTCCTCGTTAATGTCTTTACCATGGATCTTCCTTTGCCAACTTTGAAGATTCATTTGTTTCTAAAAGGGAATTTTCTGTGTCCTTATATATTTCAGTATTTTCATCATTCTGGATATTGATAGAACTTTCTTGATTCTCAAAAATATCTTCAGGTCTTGAAGAAGGAATGGATAGAATGTCCATATCTAAAGATTTAGAAGTACATGCAGGTTCATATTGAAATTCATTTGTATTCTTAACCTCACCAGTTGTTGCTGTTGGAACTATAATTTCTGCATCAGTTTTGTCATTTGGAAACCTTTTTGTTTTTGTAGCAAATATATCTTCCACTTCATATTTTTTATCTACATTTTTAATTTTGGCATCTTTTTTAGCATTCTCATGTTTTCCTTCTTTGCTATTTTCTTTCTTTTCTTTAACAACCAAGCTGCTTATCTCCTTGTTCAAGCATTCTTCTAATGCCTTATGAGCCTTACTTATGTCATTCCTTACAGATCTAACACCTTTCAATTGATTTAACATAGTATTTGAGCTCATTTCTGAATTGCTGGCTATTTGTTCTGAAAATGTCACAAAACTAGACTTCATAACTGTAGTGTTCTCAAGTAGTGTTTCAGTCTTTGTAATCAAGTCTTTTGAAACCATTAATGATGAAAAAGAATGTGTTACAGCATCTGAGTGAAAATCATCTAACTGAGGTTTTTCTTCTTCTTTTGTGGTGGAGTAGAATTTAGGTGGATGGTTACATGTCTTACCACTCTTTTCACTTGCAGACTTTAGCTTCTTTTTATTCTGTTGCCTCAAAAGTGATATATCCTCAAATACACAGTCACAGACTGCAACCAAATCTAACAAAGGTTCTGGGTGGCAAATATAGCACTGCCACTGATTGTTTTCATCCATTATTTTTGAGATTTCTTTTTTCCCTAGATTGCGGGAAATGCATTTTTTGCAAAAAGCATTATCGCAAGAGTCACAACAAATTAGGTTTCCACGTTCTGCACACCATCTGAAATGTACAAAAAACAAAACAACACAAAAAAATTAAGGCATCATTCTTAGTCAAACAACTACTTAAAGACTCAAAAAATTAAAATTAAGCAGGAATGAAAATCTACTAATTTAAAAAAATGATATAAATGAAAATATTTTCTTTAAAATTATAAATGTAAGTTGGTCCACTTCTGGGAGCCAAGATTGTGCAGTAAGAAGTAAGTCACTCTCACCTTCCCTCACTGACCTGTGAAAGCCCAGAGGGTGTAAGTATGAGTTGACTTTGATGTGAAGGTAAAAAAATCTAATTAAGTGTTGGAAAGGGATTGTACTGGGAGAAGAGGAAACAAGGAGGCAGACAAGATTTACCCTGTAAAAGGTAGGAGGGGAAAAGGAAAAGAAAAGGGAGGGAGGATAGAAGGGAGGGAAGAAGTAAGGAGAGTAAAGGGGAAGAAAAGAGAGGGGGCTAATAGAAGGGAGATGGGACTGAGGGACATGGTGGTGAAAAGCAAAACACTAGTGAGGAGGGAAGAGGAAAAAGGAGAAAGGAGAAAGAAAAGCATAAATGGGGGGGAAAGGGTGAAGAGAAAGATAGATAGTAATCATAGCTGTGAATGTGAATGGGATGAACTGCCCCGTAAAATGAAAGTGGATAGCAGAATGGATTAAAAACCATAATCCTACAATATGCTGTCTCCAGGAAACACATTTGAAAAAGAGTGACACATACAGGGAAAGGTAAAAAAAAAAGGCTGGAGCTGAATATATTATGCTTCAGCTGAAGTAAAAAAGAAAAAAACAGAGGTAGCAATCCTGATCTCAGACAAAGCAAAAGCAAAAACAGATGTTATCAAAAGGGATAAGGAAGGAAACTACATCCTGCTAAAAGGCACCATAGACAATGAAGTAATATCATTACTAAACATATATGCACCAAATGGTATAGCATCCAGATTCTTAGAGGAGAAGTTCAGGGAGCTACAGGAAGAAACAGAGAGCAAAACGATACTGGGGGGGACCTCAACCTCCCCCTCTCTGAACGAGATAAATCTAACCACAAAATAAACAAGAAAGAAGTTAAGGAGGTGAATAGAGCATTAGAAAAGTTAGGTATGATAGACCTCTGGACAAAACTGAATGTGCACTCTAAGTAAAGCTTAACCTTTGTCCTATTTACTGACTTCTACCAGCCAAACAAGATAAGACTGGCTGCATCCAGTTTTACTTAGTTACTTTTCTAGTGGTTGTTTCAATTTTATGGAAACAAACATTTTCCTTATATCTCTGACTAGGAAAAAAAAATCTCCAGGGCCAGATGGATTTACAAGGCAATTCTATCAAACATTTAAAGAACAATTAATTCCAATACTATAAAGATAATAGTCTATATAGTATAGTCTCGGGAAATTAGTGAATAAGGAGTCCTACCAAATTCTTTTTGATACAATATGGTGCTGATACCTAAACTGGGAAGACCCAAAACAGAGAAAGAAAATTATAAACTAATCTCCCTAATGAATACAGAAGCAAAAAGTTTAAATAAAATATTAGCAAAGAGATTACAACAATTTTTGTCAAGGATAATACACTATGGCCAGGTAGGATTTATGCCAGGAATGCAGGGTTGGTTCAATATTAGGAAACCTATCAGCATAACTGACCATATCAACAGCAAAACTAACAGAAATCATATGATTATCTCAATAAATACAGAAAAAAATTTTGACAAAATACAACACCCATTGCTATTAAAAACACTAGAGAGCATAGGAATAAATGGAGTCTTTCTTTAAATGATAGTATGTAACACCTATCAAAAACCATCACCAAGTATATATATAATGGGGATAAGCTAGAAGCATTTCCAAAATAGATGGGGGCAGGGTGGAACAAGGGTGTCCATTATCACCACTGTTATTCAATATTGTACTAGAAATGTTCGCTTTAGCAATGAGAGAAGAAAAAGAAACCAAAGGAATTAGACTAGGCCAAGAAGAAACAAAGCTATCACTCTTTGCAGATGATATGATAAGAGAATCAAGTAAAAAATTACTTGAAATAATAAACAAATTCAGCAAAGTTGCAGGATAGAAAATAAACCCATATAAATCATCAGTATTGCTATATATTACTAACAGAGGCCAACAGCAAGACATAGAAAGAGAAATTCCATTTGAAGTTACTGTAGACATTAGAAAATATGGGGAAGGTTACCTACTGAAACAAGCTCAGGGACTATATGAACATAATGATAAAACACTTTTCACACAAAGAAAGTCAGATCTAAATCCTTGGGAAAATAGCAGTTGCGCAGGAGTAGGCCCAACTCATATAATAGAAAGGACAATCCTGCCTCAATTCATTTACATATTCAGTGCTGTACCAATCAAACCCCTCCAAAAAATTATTTTATAGAGCTGGGGAAAAACAAAACCAAACCAAAAAACAATCACAACATTCATCTGGGAGAACAAAAGGTCCAGACTATCAAGGGAACTAATGAAAAGAAATGCAAGGGAAGGTGGCCTAAGTGTACCAGATCTTCAATTGTATCATAAAGCAGCAATCCTCCAAATTCCTTGGTACTAGCCAAGAAATAGGGTGGCGGATCACTGGGAAAAGTTAGGTATGCAAGACACAACAGTCCATGACTATAGTCATCTGCTACTTGTTCAATCCAAAGACTCCAGCTTCTGGGATCAGAAATCACGATGTACCAAAAACTGCCTGGAACAATGGAAAAATAGTACGACAGAAACTAGGCCCAGGCCACCATCTTATACCCTAGACCAAGATCACGTCAGAATGGGCACATGATTGAAACAGAAAGACTGATACTATAAGCAAACTAAGAGAGCAAGGAGTAGTTTACCTATCAGATCTATGGAGAAGGGAAGACTTCATGACTGAACAAGAGTTAGAGGACATTACATCATGCAAAATGGGTGACTTCGCTGACATGAAATTAAAAAGGTTTTGCACAAACCAAGCCAATACAACCTAGATTAGAAGGGAAGCAGAAAGCTGGGAAAGCAGTTTGACGCCCAGTGTCTCTGAGAAAGGCCTCATGAGCTATACATGAAAAAGTGCTCCAAATCACTACTGATTTGAGAGAAATGCAAATCAAAATGACTCTGAAGTACCACCTCACACCTATCAGATTGACTAACACGAAAAAACAGAAAAAAATGATAAATATTGGAGATGTGGGAAAATTAGAACACTAATGCGTTGTTGGTGGAGTTGTGAACTGAGCCAACCATTCTGGAAAGCAATGTGGAACTATGCCCAAAGGGTTATAAAATCATGCAAACCCTTTGACCTGGCAATACCCCTTCTAGGCCTGTATCCCAAAGAGATCATACAAATGGGAAAAGGACCCGCATGTATAAAAAATATTTATAGCAGCTTTTTTTGTGGTGGCCAAGAATTGGAAATGGAAGGGATACCCATCTGTTGGGGAATGGCTGAGCAAGTCGTGGTGCATAAATGTAATGGAATGCTATTGTGCCATGAGAAATGATGAGCAGGTGGACTTCAGAAAACCTAGAGATTCATATATGAACAGAATCATACATATGTGAGCAGAACCAGAATAACATTGTACACTGTAAGTCACGCTATATGATGACTAACTTTGATAGACTTAATTCTTCTCAGTAATTTAAGGATCTAAAACAATTCCAAAAGTCTCATAATGGAAAATGCTATCCACAACCAGAGAAAGAACTATGGAGTCTGAATACAGATCAAAGTATACTATTTTTCACTTTTTTGTCGTTTTTTCCTTTCTCGTGGTTTTCCCCTTTGGTTCTAATTCTTCTTTATAACATGACTAATGTAGAAATATGTTTACTATGATTGTACACATATGGCCTATATCACACTGCATGCCATCTTGAGGAGGGAGAAGGTAAAGGAGAGAAGAAAATTTAAAGGAAAATCTTTTTTAAAATGTTGATAACTAAAACTAATTAATAAATAAATGTTTAAAAAAATCTGTAGTTAGAAATCTAATACTTGTGTCCCCCTCATTTTGAACATATACTATAATCTCTGACATTTGACATGATTAAGAGCCACTGATACATTAAATAAAATTATTTCATTATATTTTCTAGATATTATATTCCTACCTGCACTGCTCACCAATTCCTTCAGAATTGCAGTTTATGTTCTCACTCATATAATATTTGTAGCAGTTCTAAAAAGGAATTAACATTGATTTCTACATTTTAAAAATCTACTAAAATGTTAACATTCACAAAGCACAATTTTAAAATGATTCAAACCATTAAGCCAATATCTTTAAACATAAAAGTGGGGTGATAACTTTACTCACAGCAAAGAAAAAAAAAATAAAATATTTTGCAATAATAAAGAAGTGCTACCAAAGTAACAACCCATAAGTAGGGAATGGCTGAACAAAATGTGTAACATAACCATAGCTGAATGTTACCATGCAGTAAGTACAGAGAGGAATGAAGAATTCATTTTAACCATAAAAAACTGATTCAAAGAAAACTCAGAAGATTTCCAAAGAAAAAACTGTATAAATTGATAAAAGGAAAACAAATAGCAACCAGAGAACACTACAAAACATTTCTATAATAACACAACTGAAAAGAACAAAATTAAATCCAACATTGACTAGTGGCATAGTTGATAGAATGCTAGACAACTTCAGAAGAAATCCTTTCTCAAGTAACCTAACTATTTTCAGAATTAATTTTTTTTATGAGCAAAATAGGTATTATAATAACAACACTAGCCTCACAAGTTGTTGTGCATCAAACAAGATTAAATATGTAAAGCACTTTGGAAACCTCAAAGAGCTACAAAACGCTATTATTAAAGATATTTTTATCATTACAACAAATACTAATCCTCAAAAATGTATAATCTCAAATATCCTCCTCTCACCAGAAGCAGAGACAATCAAGGGCAGAATAGTTGTCAAACACTCAGAGTACTGGGTTTGGGTTTTTGGTGGTTTTTTTTTTAATTAAATATTTTTCCTTGTTGAAAACAACTTCAATTCTGTGGATTAAAGGAATACCATAACCAGAAGAAATTGTGACATAAAAATAAAAAGTAGCAACAAAATATATTTTTAATTAAAAAAACCTTAAAGTAAGTGAATGAATTGATATTATAATAAATAATTAATAATAGTTAATTGTCTGAAAACAAGTTTTGATCCCAAAAGGGGTACTGTCATTCACATGGTCGACACTTTTCAGAGTACTTCAGGAAAGTTAACGGAAACACATAAATTAAATGAACATCTTGTTTAAAAAACAACAAACTTGTGTCTGTTTCACATTTGGTTGGTTGCTTTCCTTTGTAATCAAAGATGATCAGCTGTGGTCAATCAGACAAGTATGCACTCAGAAGGCTCTACCACAAGTTGGGCACACATGTTTGTTTTCATGTATACAAGTTAAAAAGTGAAGTAAATCCAAACTAACCCATTTATTAACCAAGTCTGATTTTTATGAAAGTTTGATATTTACTGAACCCGAGCTCTTAAGACAGAGCTTAAACTTTCGAAACAAAGCACTGCAGAATTCACATAAATAAAAGAATATCTTAAAACGTAAGAAGAGATCTGTCATTTACTCAACTACTACAGAACAAAAGGAATAATAGTTCACAGATAAAATCATCATCCAGTTCATAACTACATACCTTACAAATAAGGACGTTTAGTGCAGGATGTCTATATATTGAATCCTTCTGAAAATGGTTCACCTGCTGTCCACAAGCAGTGCAGCTCACAATCCGATGTAGTCTTTCTCCTAAAACAATTCAATCACAAACATGGTCTACTGACAAATAAAATTTTAAATTGTATAAAACACTTGAAATTGTATTTTTATAATTCAATATATTTTAAGCAATGTGCTATTTGCTTAATCAGTAGGAATCCTAACTACAAAGATATATATATTCATGTTATTCATACTGCTGAACACTTATAGAAAATTATGGACAAGTTTCACAAATTTTAACAGACTAACAAGCTTTAGAACTAGAAAGGATCTCATCTTTCTCAAATTCTATCATCCAACTTCTGCTTAAAGTTATCCAGTGACAGGGGAACTCACTACCTCCCAAGGCATATATGGATAACTGTAATTTCCCATCCTCAAACTTTTAACAACTTTCATCTAATTTTTCTGGAACGCTATCTACTAGGATGGCAATCAAAACAAGATTCATCATTAATTAATCACAGCAGAAAACAAAGCAACTCTTTGGGTATTCCTTTTCTCCTGGGATAGCCTTTGAAATACCTGAACATATCTTTTATATTTTAAAATTACTACAGTAAAAAGATAAAAATTAAATAGTCTATTTCCTTAAACAGATTTCCTTAAACAATAGGTTCAACTGGGAAGAAAACATGTACATATATATTTTGTATACAGAACATAAGAGAGAATATTTATATGCTATATATGTTATATATATATATATAGTATATGTATTATTTGAATATATACTTATATATAGAATATATAAATATAATATAGACTGAGGAAACGAGACAGACAGACAGAGAGAGAAAGAGAGGAGAAAATGAGAAAATACCCGGCCTGCAGTCAGGAAAACTCATTTTCCTGAGTTCAAATCCAGCCTCAGATACTTACTAGCTGTGTGACCCTGGGCAAGTCATTTTAACCCTGTTTTCTTCAACTTCCACATCTACAAAATGAGCTAGAAAAGGAAATACCAAACCATTCCAGTATCTTTGCCAAGAAAACTTCTAAACAGGGTCATAAAGAGTCTGATAAAATGAAGCAAAAAAATTAAAGAAGGAAGAAAGTGTGTGGAACAACAATCACGACAATGGAACAGAAACAGAAGAACTATTCAATGTGAGAAATAGAAGGAAGGGAAAATAAGTATAGTCAGACAGAAAATATTTTGAGGACAAACTGCACAGCTTTAAAAGTCAAGTTGATGAATTTATATTTTACACTAGAGGCTAGATTAGACACAAGGAGGGAAGTAACACAAGTAGACCAACCATTAAGGAAAATTATTGTGACAACAAAATACAAAGAGATCTGAGGCAGCAAGATTTGCATTTAGGTGAAACTACTGTAATGGCACGAGAGCTTCAATTAGAGTGAGTACTCTATCAGCTACTATGCTGAAGGACCGTAGGTCTTGGAATACTCTGTTCTGCAGAGTAAAAGATCTGGAGCTATGACCAAGAATAACTTACCCAGAAAAAATAATTAAGTATAACCCTAAATGAAAAAATGGGCATTTAACCAACTCAGAGATTTTCAGTTATCTATGACAAAAATCACAGAACTTTAGGAAAATTCAACACATAAGATCCAGGAGAAATATAAACATTAAGGACCAATTATAAAGGACTAAATAAGGTAAAACTGTTTACTTCTTATATGTGAAAATTATCAGTATTTTTATGATCATCATCACTATTTGAGTAGTAGGAAAGAAATGCTTGGGCTGAGCTGTGTATAATGTGGTAATTCTTAAAAAAAATAAAACTGCATAGGAAGAGATAAAAAAGAGTAATTATCTCTCATAAATGAGGGAAAAAGACAATACAGTAGAAGCTTGTAGGAGGGCTGGAACCTTATTCTTATCAGGAATGGGATAAAGAGGGCAGCTAGGTGGTGTAATGGATAGAGCAACCGGCCCTGAAGTCAGGAGGACCTGAGTTCAAATCTGGCCTCAGACCAAACACTTGACACTTACTAGCTGTGTGACCCTGGGCAAGTCACTAATCCCAATTGCCTAAAAATTTAAAAAAATAAAATAAAATACAAAAGGTAATCTGAAATTAATTTTCATCTAAACTACTTACCAACACACTTTTTGAGAGTTTCAGTTTCAATTTTACTTTTCTTGCTAACTTCAGGCTCTTGAAAATCATCTGTGTCGTCCTTCTGCACTAGTTCTGATTGTACAACCATATTGCCCACAATTTAACATTAATAATCGTTATGAAACTATCTAAGAACACTGAATCAACCCTGAATATCAGAATAAAAAACAAGTCTTTGAATGCTGCTGGATGGAGCAAAATGGCAAGTTTGTCCTCAGAGTCCTATAATTAGTGTCCAGAAGTTTCCAAAAACTGAAATTCTTGAGAAAAACTATAGCCCCTCAACTTGACCTAACATGTGGATACATTAACATCATTATTTCCTCTTGTTATGCTACTGAAGAAAAGAGGAGAATTTGGGATTTAGCCCAGAAATCTGGTGACCACCCTGCCAAAAATGTCACAATATACACCCCCTTCCAGGGTAGCAGCAGTTCCCGTCTCAGACCCAGGTTGGGATTACCAAGAAAGCAGTTGTGATAGGAAAAGGAAGCATTACGTGCTAACCTGCCTAAACGATGGGAAGAAAAGAGGTATTAGGAAACAGCTGAACTATGACAAGCTTAAGGAGGTTACCCTGGGGGCCCAAGAAGAACCCACCTTTTTTCAAGACAAGCTGGTAGAGGCCCTCAAGAAATATACCAACCTGGACCCAACTATGCATTCTCAGCATGCACTTCATTAGTCAATCTCTCCCCCAAATATCCAGAAAAAGTTATAAAAGTTAGCAGTGGGCCCCCAGGCACCTTAGGCCAAGCATTTGGAGTATTTAACAACAGGGACTAAACTGCTGCACAAGATAAGGACCACAAGGCTAGGGCAAGGAACAGAGAACAGGCTCAACTTTAGGTTGCTGCCATACCTAGTACCCAGTAGGGTTCATACTTTCAGTGCCTTAAGTCTCATAAGTGGTCTCTTAAGTGCCTACTGAAGAGGAAGACACCAGGTCCATATTCTATTTGCAACCAGGAGGGACAGTGGCAGAGAGACGGCCCACAAGGGGGTCAAGTGGCCTCCTCCCAATATCCACACTCCAGTCTCCTGAGGATTTGGAGTGATGGGTCTCAATCCAGCCAGGTTCCCTCCTTCTCCATCACCATGACTGAACCCAGAATAACTCTGCTTGTGGAAGGTAAGATCATTAACTTTCTTACTGACACAGGAGCCACTTATTCTGTCCTACACCAGCACTTTGGCTTTACCAGTTCTTCACACCATGTCATGGGGATCAAAGGCAAATTTGGAAAGTGCTCTGCTTTGCCAGTTTGAGGATCTGTTGCTTAGTAACCCCTCCTTTTTTGGGGGGAGCTAGGCAATGGGGTTAAGTGACTTGCCCAGGGTCACACAGCTAGTGAGTGTTATGTGTCTGAGGCCAGATTTGAACTCAAGTCCTCTTGACTTCAGGGCTGGTGCTCTATTCACCCTGCCACCTAACCTAGCTGGCCCTAATCACTCCTTTGTTGTCCTCTC